TATCTAACATTATAAAATACAAAAGAGAAGATGTATGGGATTTTTCTAAACCTCTGTGTAGAATTCAATGGCGGTATCAAAATCTTTAGCACGAAATGCGGCATCTCCATGCTTCTTGTAGTCCGTATTCTCTTGCATTTCGCCCGTCCACATTTGGAACGAAAACTGACATATTTATCAGAATCAGCAACTTCCAACTCGCAAAATTCAGATAGTAATGAGATCTTTATCATTCATCAACTTACCTCATTTGCGACCCCATCATCTTCTCTATACCCGAGTATCTCAAGTAGTTCATGTATGCTACTTAGATCTGGTCTCGAACACGCATCTCCAAAAGGAGTCAACTTCAATGTTTCTGTTCCAGGTTTAGTCTTTGCAGGCAGATTGTGTGATGGAGACTGTCATTAACATGATTTCAGTTAGTCCCACTAATTAACTCTGCATTCTTTTAAACCGGACTATTCTTGAATGTATGGAGAGAGAGAGTGACACTTACAGGCATGAGTCTTTTGACATTGATAGGCCATAACTCGGCTCGTTTCTGAATTCGAGCAAGAGTCGCCATAAGAAACTTCATACTTGGCCTCTCTTCTGGTTCAGTCTTCAAACATCGAGAAGCTATGTGCATTAGCTCTGTTCTGTCTTCATCAGAGAACTGACCATCCAAAGCTGAATCCATTAGCACCAAATAGTTTTTGCCTTGGAATAAATCAAGCGCCTGCACAAATATATAACATAGTAACATATAAAAAGCTAATCAAATCAGTTCAAAATGCTACAAATATAAACCAAAATTGCCACTTTTTATTACATGGTTTGGAGGAATATGTTTGCCACTCATAAGATCCAATAACAAGGTCCCAAAGCTATATGTGACGCTCTCCGGTATCACAGTACCTGAAAAAAAGAAGTTATTATCGAATCAAACTTCGAATTGACACACACGCATCAAAATGTTGATATATATGTACCTAGGCGCAAATATTCGGGAGGTGCAAATGCTAAGTTGGTACTATAATTCTTCCCTTCTTGACTATTATTCTTCATGAGACCAAAGCAAGAAAGCTTAGGATTCCCTATCTGTCAATTCAAACACTTAATTTAGAGATTCAAGATTTTGCGGTTTTTTTCAAATTCAAGAAACAAAAAGAAGTTTAGCATTACATTACCTTATCAAACAGTATCCTATAAGGATTAAGATCATGGTATAAATCTACTCCTTTATCATTACAATACTCTAAAGCTTTAGCGGTATGCAACGCAACTTTCAACCTCGTTTCCCATTTCATCGGTCTTTTCTCCCCTGAAAAAAAAACACATTACACAATCTTCTTAATCAAAACCATCTTTACACCAAAAACATCATCTCACAAAATGAGAAGAAAAAAAGACTAAAATTTACAGTGAAAGAGATGTTTTGCTAATGTTCCATTAGGCATATACTCAGCAACAAGCAATCTCTCGTTGTCATCGGAACAACAACCGATCAAATTCGCCATATGTTCACTCCTCAATCTCCCAATACTTTGTGCTTCATTCTGCAAAATTGAAAAAGATAAACAAATCTTGAATTGTAGCTCTCAAGATTTGATGCAAAATCAAAGAAGAAACAAGAACTTGACCAAGAAATAGACTTAACGATGAATACGAAAGGATCAGGCCAAGAAAGTCTCTTAAACCGTTTAACGGCGATTTTACGACCGTCGCCGAGTTTTCCTTTGTACACAATGTTCGGAATCCAATCGTTATGCTCCGATACAATATTTCCGGCGGAGAATCCGTCGGTGGCGATTCTCAGCTGCTCGAAACTGAATTCTCTGAAGATCAGTGGATAATGTCCGTCGTAGTCATCGTCGTTATCGAGATCGTCGATGACCGTTGATGTAATCGACGGCGAAGATTCTTGCCGCCAAGGCTTGAAACAAATGCATCCCATTGCCGCCGGAGAAAAAAAATTCCGGCTAAGACTCACTCCCGCCTCCGGAAAACGCTTTTATTTTTTTGAATTTTCAAAGCTATTAATATTTAGTTTTATAATGGTAAGAAAATTAAGAAATAATTATTATATATGTTTACTAATAAGGGAAACTAATGTCAAACGGATATTGTAACATATCTGCTGTTTTACTTGTGTCATCTAATAAATCATGCTTTTGTGACTACATAGAAAATAAATCGTAGTTATTAATCGTTTTTTGGGGGTATTTCTCGAGTTAATTAAATTATTATTACTGGCAATCTGGAATCGTCAATATTCAAATATAGTAGTTAATGGGGCGCTCGTTACGGGTTATATGTTTTGTTTTTTTCCTTTTAATATTTGAA